TTTCCAACCTTCGGAAATTTTTCAAGATCTTCTCAAAACCTGTAATTTCTAAGTAAACATCTTTTTAAAACCCGTATGAACGTTTATAAACGTCAAAGATTTGGCAAACGCAAGCATAAAAAGTAGTTGGACCTCGGAAGGGGCAACCCCTTGACTCCTGTCTTACGGCGATCTATCAGGAAGTTTTTTTTTTGAGAAACATAAAAATTCGTCATCATTTACTTAAAGAAAAATAATATTTTATGAATTGTATTGAATATTTAAATAATTATAATTAATTTTTAAAATGAAAAAACTGTTAGAGATGAATATAGAATTTATTTGAATTTTTTTACTTGTTATGGTCTTCTATTTTGAAAAATTGGGTGGAGATGCACTTAAAAAATATCAATATAAAAAAAATAATATTTAGAAATAAATAAAAAATGAAAAGAATCTTTAACTTGGATATAATTGGTCCACATATATTTAAATTTCCTGAAAGGGAGAGAGAGAAACGTGTTGGCGAGTGATGACTCCGGTTCCGGTTAAAGTGGAAGAAAATGAACCGACACGGACCGGTTTTTCTATTTAAAAAAGAAGTGATTAGCGGTTTAAACGCGGAATTTAGGCTTTAGACGTGTTTCACAAATAACACCAACTTTTTAACGTCACAATCCCTCTAACTACCACTACAACTTACATCTCTTTCCTTCTATTCTTTTTCTACTATTTTTCTTTCCCACTTCTATCCCTTTCTATATATATATATATATATATATATATATACATATATAGACTTGGGATCATGTGAGAACAGCCTGTTTTCGTGAGACCCGTGAGACCAGCATTTTACACTTGAAACTTCATAGCAAAATGCTGTGAAGGTAACTTTTTAAAACCTTCACGGTGTTTTTGCTGTGAAGGTTCGACTTTTTTTAAACTTTCACAGCATTTTTGCTGTGAAGTTTACGTGTAAAAATGTGGTCTCACGGGTCTCACGAAAACAGGCTGGTCTCACGTGAACCTGACCCTATATATATATATATACATATATATACATATATATATACATATACATATATATATATACATATACATATATATACATATATATATATATATACATATATATATATATATATATATATATACATATATATATACATATACATATATATATATATACATATACATATATATATATACATATACATATATATATATATACATATACATATATATATACATATATATATATATACATATACATATATATACATATATATATATATATACATATATATATACATATACATATATATACATATACATATACATATACATATACATATACATATATATATATATATACATATATATGTATATGTAGATTTATGTAGATGTAAGTTATTATACAACTTTTAAATTTGTACAATCAATATAATTCAATATCAATCGTTCATTTAATTTGATAAATATGTGATTTCATAAAAGTTTTTATTGTTTTATAATATAAAGTATTGATCATAATTAATGAACCATAGTAATTTTCTATAAATATACAAATCATAATAAATGAACTATCATTATTTTTATAAATATCTTAATTGATTGGGTTGCATTGTTTGTAGAAATGTGATGGGTTGCATTTGAAACGTATTCTCTCTCTCTCTCTCTCTCTCTCTATATATATATATATATATATGTGTGTGTGTGTGTGTGTGTGTGTGTGTGTAGATATGTATATGTAGATATATAGATATTTAGAGGAGCGATCAAATACAAATCGTTCTCATTTGTACAAACTAGCATCAACCAATAACATAATTTCATTTAATTTTCTTTATTTTTAATTCATAAGGGTATGATTGTTCTTTGACTTTATAATTTGATAATTCTAATAATATTTTAATTGTGTCTAAATCGATAATATTATATAAATTAGTGGTTTTTGAGGAAATGATCAATCAATTTTTTTATAATAATCTTGAAATTGGTAAGTTTTTAATAGATATTTATTAACATCAATGAAATAGGTGTAATCTCTAATTAAACAGACTCAAACTGTTTAATGAAACAATGTCATATATGATTGCATCAGGTTCATATGTATAACAGTTATAATAAAACAAGTTTATATTCATAGGTATGTATAATAGTTTGTAATGAAACAGATTCATATGTATAACAGCTATAATGAAATAGGTTCATGGATCATATATGATTGCATCAGGTTCATATGTATAACAGATGTAATGAAACAAATTCATATAACATGTTTTCTCCGTTTTGCCCTTTCGTATCTCCAATATAATTTCTTTTTTACTTTTAATTGTTTATTTTACTTATTTAGTTTGTTTCAATCTTGGCATTTTCATCAAAAAAAATGGATGGATGTAATTAGTTTTTAAGGTTTGTATGAAATGGATGGTTAGTAAAATACACCTCCTCTAGATATGTATATGGATATGTATATGTATACACACACATGTATATATAGACTTGGGATCATGTGAGACCAAAGGTTTTTCGTGAGATCCGTAAGACCAATTATCAGTTTTTGGATTAGACCTACAATCTGAACATTCATAATCACTAATTTGCCACGAGACTTCTCAATAATCACAAAATTGTCACCGTGTAAATTTAGGTCATTAGATCATTAGCTTATAAAGTTGATCAATTAACATAAATTGGTCTTACGGATCTCACGAAAAACTCTAGGTCTCACATGAACCCAACCATATATATATATATATATATATATATATATAGGGGCACGTTCAATTGAAAACCGTGCAATTCTAAGAAACCGTGTAAACCAATTTCAAACAATAGGAAAATTCTATTATTTTTTAATTAAATTTAATTATTAAGGGTATTTCGGTCATTTAAGTTATTTCTATTAAATATGGAAATGATTAWGGAATATTAATTATGGAAAAGTAATAATGAAATTCTTAAAAATGGTAATTTTTAAATATGTAATTATATTATGATAATAAAAATTAAAAGTAAATACAATGTAATCCAAGTGAATCTGGATTGTGATCATTGGAGATTGTAAGTTCGTGATTGAATTCATTCAAAAACATTGTGGTTGATGAAAAAAATTTAAAATAATGAAACATGTTTCATCATGATGAAACAGGTTTCATCATCATGAAACTAGTTCATGACATGGGATTAACAATGAATGGTGGAATACTTGCTTGGTGACCCCGATTCATTTGTGGTTTAGTTGATCCACATAGTTGGGGAATGTGAAAATGAAACTTGTTCACAATGTTTGTGGTTCGTTAGCAAGTAATATGATGATGAAACAAGTTTCGTGATGATGAAACAAGTTCATGACATGGGATTAATAATGAGTGGTGGAATACTTGCTTGGTGACCCCGATTCATTTGTGGTTTAGTTGATCCATATAATTGGGGAATGTGAAAATGAAACTTTTTCATAATGTTTGTGGTTCGTCAGCAAGTAATATGATGATGAAACAAGTTTCGTGTAGATGAAATTGGTTCATGACATGGGATTAACAATGAGTGGTGGAATACTTGCTTGATGACTCAGATTCATTTGTGGTTTAATTGATCCATATAGTTGGGGAATGTGAAAATGAAACTTCTTCATAATGTTTGTGGTTCGTCTACAAATAATATGATGATGAAACAAGTTTCGTGTAGATAAAAATGGTTCATGATGTTAACGCATACGATGAGTAGTGGAACATTTGCATAGTTACCCGATTCATTTAAGATTTAGTTGTATCATTAGCATGAATGTGAGGATGAAACATGTGCATAATGTATGCGTTTTGCAATGAAAAAATTTCATCATTGAAGTGTATGAAACTGGTGCATGATGTAAGATTATATTTTTAATATTTTTTTTATTTCCTTAAATAAACTAAAATAATCTTTTACACTTTTACCCTTATTGATGATATAAGATTATATATATATATATAATTGAGACGGTTTTTATTTGAACGTTTCTCTCTCTCTCTCTATATATATATATATATATGTATAGATATGTAGAGTTTGTTTCAAATACAACCCGTCGCATTTGTACAACCAATGCAACCCAATAAATTGAGATATTTATGGAAATGATGAGAGTTCATTTATTATGATTTGAATATTTATGGAAGATGAATATGGTTCATTAATTATGATCGAAACCTTATATTAGGAAATAATAAAAACTTCTATGAAGTCACATATTAATCAAATGAAATGGACGGTTGAGATTTGGTTGTATTGATTGTACAAATGTTAAGGGTTGTATAATAACCAATCTCTAGATATGTATATCTACAGATATGTGGATATGTATATGTATACATATATATACACACACATAAATTAAACTAATGTCGAAACTTTTAATAAAAAGATTATATCTCTTACTTATAAGTATATTAATCTTGTGGGTTTAGTTCAATTGGTAATAAGCTTTGGATCTTTAAGGATTCTTTATATAGGGAATCAATTTGAGTCCTACAATATCATTCGAGATTTTTTTACTGTTTTCCATAATCCCTAAGATTAATAGAATTGTGTGTAAGCTGCTCTATAAGCCCCACAGTTAAGGGGGAAAAAAAGGCATATAACATAGTTTCAAGGTTTCTTTAGTATGAATTATAATTGATTTGTGGTTAATATTGGTTCTCACAGTTACCACAAACAATATTTATTTATCGACACTTTAAAAAGTATATAAAAGAATATACCTGATAAACCAAAATTGTTGTGATGACCCACCTGCCTCCAAAAATAATACTAATTAATTAATACAATATATAATTATTATTTTGCTAAAAATATTAATCGTTGATACTTCCACTGCCTTTTGCTAACCATCCAACACGTGGTCTCACCCTTTACAGTTTAAGGTGGACCTCCTCCACTATTTATACCCCTTCCAACCTCAAACTCAACCCACACTTTCTTCTCATTCCACCATTAAAATACCTTCCATCCCACCATTAAAATAGCTTCAACCATCTTCAATGGCAGCTGCTTCTTCTTCTACTTCTACTTGGAATAACCCTAGGACCAGATTCTTGTCTTCTTCCAAACAAGTCTTTGCTAAGTCCTCTTCCAATTCAATCTCTTTCTCTAACAAACCCATTGCTCCTATTTCACAGAATCCCATTCGTTCTGCACTTCAAACGCCGTCGATTCTTCAGTTACCGAAACAGTCCATCGGAAAAGCTTCCACCGGTGCTATTCAAATGCCTTCTTCTCCGGCGGTCCAACAAAATTGGAACTTGTTACAGAAAGTTGCAGCAATGGCATTGGACGCCGTGGAAAATGGGTTGATAGCACGAGAAAAGCAACATCCTTTGCCGAAAACGGCGGACCCAAATGTTCAAATCGCCGGAAACTTTTCTCCTGTACCGGAGCAACCGGTGCGTCACTGTTTACCGGTGGTCGGTAAAATTCCGGAAAGTATTCAAGGAGTTTACTTGAGAAATGGAGCTAACCCATTGTTTGAGCCTACCTCCGGCCACCATTTGTTCGATGGAGACGGCATGATTTACGCCGTCAAATTCGATAACGGTTCAGCTAGCTACGCTTGCCGGTTCACTGAGACGCAGAGGCTTGTTCAAGAACGTGCTCTTGGTAAACCGGTTTTTCCGAAAGCAATCGGTGAACTCCATGGCCATTCCGGCATAGCCAAGCTGCTACTCTTTTATGCTCGTGGCTTATGTGGCTTAGTTGACCATAGTCAAGGCATTGGTGTGGCTAACGCCGGCTTAGTTTACTTTAACAACCGGCTATTAGCGATGTCAGAAGATGATTTGCCTTATCACGTGAGTGTCACACCTTCCGGCGACTTGAAAACAGCCGGACGTTACAATTTTGACGACCAATTGGACTCCACGATGATCGCACACCCAAAACTTGACCCAGTTTCCGGCGAGCTTTTTGCATTGAGCTATGACGTCATCCAGAAGCCGTATCTGAAATATTTCTGGTTTTCACCTGACGGCAAGAAATCAAACGACGTGGCGATTGATTTGGGAAAGCCGACTATGGTTCATGATTTCGCGATCACGGAGAATTTCGTGGTGGTGCCAGACCACCAGGTGGTTTTCAAGATGTCGGAAATGATCACCGGTGGGTCGCCGGTGGTGTATGACAAAGAGAAAGTGTCACGTTTCGGTGTGCTCGATAAATACGCAGCTGACGGGTCGGGTATCAAATGGGTCGAAGTACCAGATTGTTTCTGCTTTCATCTCTGGAACGCCTGGGAAGAACCCGAATCCGACGAGGTCGTCGTGATAGGATCCTGCATGACTCCGGCGGACTCCATTTTCAACGAATGTRAYGAAGAAYTMAAAAGCGTYTTATCRGAAATCCGWYTKAATYTMAMGACCGGARAATCCASTCGYCGRSMSATAATCTCACCKGAAAAYGAYGTMAATTTRGAAGCAGGRATGGTGAACAARAACCTCCTCGGCCGGAAATCCAAATACGCCTACCTCGCCATCGCCGAGCCGTGGCCAAAGGTTTCCGGTTTCGCCAAAGTCGATCTTGCCACCGGCGACACCAATAAATTCTTTTACGGCGACGAAAAATACGGCGGCGAGCCTCTCTTTCTTCCGAGCAACCCCAACTCCGACGCCGAAGACGACGGCCACATCTTGGCCTTCGTTCACGACGAGAAAACATGGGAATCGGAGCTTCAAATCGTGAATGCAATGACGATGGAATTAGAAGCGACGGTGAAGCTGCCTTCGAGGGTTCCATACGGGTTTCACGGAACCTTCATAACCGCCAAAGATTTGGCAACGCAAGCATAAAAAGTAGGAGTTTAACGGCGAGATTTCACCAGAGGGATGGTTGCAGATACGTCCCCGGAAAGTCTCTTAAACCCTTGTGATTATCAGGGGGTTGTTTGTAATTTTCTTAATTCTTTTGGGGCTTTTTTGGAATTAAATACTTTTGAAGGGACCAGTTTGTAGCTTCTGTGTGTAGGTTAGAAAACGAAGCTCAGCAGGCTCTCTTTTGGTAGTTAAAACTTGGGTACAATTTAGTAAGCCAGGAGTGCAAGTGTTTATTGCACCCAATCTATGTTCCATTGTATATATGATGGTATATAGTATGTGAAATTTAAACGTTACTCTCCTCTACTTTTGGTTTCTTATACATCACTATTAGCGATTGTTTCTTTTTTTTAAAATGTACTAAATATCACATAAACAACTGGTTTAATTCTGTATACATTGTATATCAGACACACCCTTACATGTGTACTGGTGGATCTAGAATTGTTGCCTAGTAAAGACCCGTAAAGTCGTCTGACATGTTTTTAGCCTAATTCCATTTAGAGGGATTTTTAAAGTTTTTTGTTTGATATATAAATTGAATCTCGAAAATTATGGTAATTGTGACATCATATACATAATCTTGAAATTTTATATCATTGAATAGATTCTGATTTAGAAAAACTTGGAAGTAAATAGAAGAAGGTGCATGAAAATTGAAGTGGGATTTATAATGGAGGGGGTTGAATGAATAGTTGGTGAAAGATGAGGGGTTAAAAGGAAAACATGTGTCGACATGTGATTGATTTAATGCATAATTTGAGGGATCAAGACTCCTTTTAACTCACCGAAAGTAAGAGGCCAATCACTTCAACGAACTTGTAGATTGTAATTTTCTTTTTATTACATATTTTTAAGAAAAAATAAATAATATTTTGTAAATTTAAGGACTGTTTGGAGTTGCTGAATCGTTTAGTTCAGAATGATTAAATGACTTTCATGGTATAATACAAAATAAAATATAATTATTCGATAAGTTTAAAAATAATACAAAATTAACATGGGCAAATTACAAGATAATTATAATAATGTCAAAAACATTTAATTTATTTTTTTTACATATTTTTTCTTAAAAAAACATTTTTTTGTAACTCACTAAATCATAAAATATTTAAAAATATAAGCATGTTTTATTTCATATTATTTTTTTCATCCATTTCTTGAATTTAATGTAGTTATTAACGTATATTTATTTTACATTGTAGTTGTTTTATATGTATTTTGTACACAATATAAAACTTTTTGGCATGTTTGTAAAAGAAATATACATGTAAAAAAGTTTTACACATACATATGAAACAAACATATTGTTAAACAAATATATGAAAATCAATATATTAAAAATTTTATTTAGATTAAAAAAAATCATGTGAAATAAATTATTAAAATAAAAGTTCTCATTGATATCATAAATTTCGAAGTTACTAAATAATTAAATCATTTTATTACAAATGTACTTAAAAATTATCTTTTATTTTAATTTTAATTTTATTTATGTTATAACACATTTGACTTAAATACAACATTTTTTGTTAGATTTTTAAAAATTATAAAATAAATATCACTTTTTCAATTTGTTTTTCGCAATTTCATGCACATGGGAAATTTCAGTGTGAACGTTTGATGCCGAAAGGAGAAAACATTCATCACCCACTTTTGTTTCTAGATGTTATAATGTCTAATTTTCCCTTTTTAATTTAGTTTATAAAAGAAATTGGTTTTAAGGAATATATATATATATCAAAAAAATAATTTAAACTGTGAGATCCAATCTCGATCATAAATCAATGAATAAATTAAAAAACTACTATTTTTGGTAATATGACTTCAATTTTTAATTAAAAGGCATTTTAGGTATTAAAATTTTTTTATCTCTCCTCTGTCTCTCTCTCCTACTTCCGACCTCCGGTAAACTTTATTTCAGCGAATACCATGTGATATCTAAAATACACCAAGATACACAATGTGATACCCAAAATACATACAATGTGATATCCAAAACTAGGGGTGGCAATGAGTCAGGTTGAGTTGGGTTCGGGTTCAACCCATTTATTAAACAGGTTGAAAATCTCAACCCAATCCAACCCATTTAATTAAATGGGTTGAGATTTTTCAACCCAACCCAACCTGTTACCTAAATGGGTTGACAGTGGGTTGACCTGTTTACGATTTTCTTAACCCAACTTGTTAAATAAATGGGTTGACCCATTTAATTTTAAAATTTTAAATAAAAAAAGGACTAGAATATTTTTTTTTTGAATAAAACACAATCACAAATTCAAACAAATTGTTTTAAGTTTGAATAAAACACAACCACAACAAATATATTGTTCAAAATAAGTTGGATTAGACTTTGGAGGCGATAATGAAGTAATGGACTAAAGGGTTTTCTTAAGGTTTCATGATGATTAAGAGTAATGGAAGCGATTGAAATTTGGAGTTTGTCTCACGATGGTAGGATTTTTAATTAAGAAAAAACATAATTAAAAATTAGAATACTAGATATAATATTAAGAATAAAATAAAATTCTATAATATTTTAAACGGGTTGAAAACATATCGAAAAATTCAACTCAACATAACCCATTTATTTAAATGAGTTAGACGGGTTGACCCATTTATTTAAATGGGTTGAAAATCTCAACCTAACTTGCTAATTTTGGGTTAGGATCGGGTTGAGTTAACGGGTTGGGTCATTTTTTGCCACCCCTATTCAAAGCACATCAAGTAAACTTCAATACCATTATAATACCAACTGTAATACCATTATGATACCAACTGTAGTACCACTATGATACATATGTTGTATATAGGTATGTAGATGGTGGTTCGTTGCGGGGATGGGGGAAAGGAGATGGTCACCGCAAACGGCGCTTTGTCAGACAAGATGACCGGAGGAGGGCATCACTTGCAGGAGGAGGCCACCGGATTTTGGTCCGTGTGTGCATATATATACATATATATATATATATATATATATATATAGATATATAGATAATAAAGTAATTAATCTAATTAAAGTAAATTGGAATATTAAATTTTAATAAATTGAATAATCAATCCAAATTTCTAATTTACTCTTCTATTTTCTTTTAAGAAAAATATTAATTATTTTAAATGATTGGTTTACGTTGGATCTTACAATTAACACAAACTAATTAGTTCTTATTTGATTAGGCTCATATCTATACTATATTATAAAGCATTTGGCTAAAACTCTTAAAACTCTTAAAAATTCTTAAACACATTCATCCCTAAACGATTTCATCCCTATCCTATTTCATCCTATATCTGAATTCGTGTAATTAACTGTAGATAAACACAATCAAATACAGGATAAACATCTCATTCTAAATATAAAATCTAAAATATAATTAGGATAATCATTGAGTTATAACAGAATACTTAATTATTATCTTTATAAAATGTTATATTATTAAACCAAAAATAAATTATTC